CACAGAAGAATACAGAATTTTCAGATTTAGAACACCAGGAACTCGCCACTCTAATTTAAAAAAAATACCTTAAGCAGGTATTGCAAATATATTTTTAATATTGGCTAAAGATATGAAAGCCAACAGAAATAAATGTACAAGTTGGGCAATTAAGTTACTGAAAACAAATTTCTTGGTAGTCATTTTTGTGATGCACTTGATAGGTAAGCTAGGCTTAGATGACAATGGTAGGGATTGACACTTTCGCCCTTTATGACAGGTAGTAAAATTTATAGGTACCTTCAAAGATGATGGCATCAAAATAAATGCAGAGAACTATTATTGTCCCAAGGCCTTTCAATAAGAGTTCCCTGCAAGAATTTATATAAATTTTTTTTTTTATATATACTATCATTTTTTGGTTATGTGATAACTAAAATTATTTTTGTTTGCCTATTTATAAAAATGTGCACTACCATGAAACTGTTCATTAGTATTAAATATATAAGCTGAAACTCAATAATGCTCATCCAGGACATTTTATCAAAATCACTCAGTTTATACCTTTTTTTTTTTTTTTTTTTTAATATAAAATCTAATAAATTATGTGTGTATGCACAAATTCATGGATGGATAGTGACTTACATTTCTATAAATAGTTGCTAAAATCTTAAGCATTGAAATATACCATTACACAGATATTAATATATCTCTTTCTCTACTGTTATATAATATTCATCAGGCATATTTTTCATACCCTTAAGTTTAAAACTTAATCTGCCAGTTATTGCAAAAAATTGGATTCCTTTTATAATTAGCATATGTTAATTTGTTTAATCAAAGAGTTAATGAATAATCCTAATGTTTTTTGTTTTTTTTTTTTTAAATTTAAAACAGGAATTAATATTGATTCATGAGTCAATGTTCTGTACCTCTGTTAATTCACTTTCAAATTTCTACAAAAAAATAAATGCACACTTTGAAAAAAAAAAAAAAAATCATTATTTGCATATTTTTGTTTCCATATCACACCATTAGACAAAGAAAACAACTCTTAATCTGTAGGCATGAAACTGTCTTGTAAACAAGACAGATTATATAGTCTGGTTGAAAAAAACTGAACATTGACCAGTGATATTTCATAGATTCTCCTTTCCACCAAGGAAAGCAAGCAGTAGCCAGTTTTTACCCATGGAAATAATTGAATAGAGAAATATAATTAGGTGCCCATCTGCTGTTTTTTTTTTTTTTTTTTTTTTTTATATAATAACAACTTCCATATAAAATTGCATTTTCTTATATGCCATTCCCTTCTTTCTCATTATCAAAGTATCTTGATATTTTACATTCATTTTCACTTTTTTATTTTGCAGATGTCAAAGCAACTTGGATTTTTTGAGAACTTTGCCCTTAGTGGTGCAGCTGCTATTATCTCAAAAACGGCAGCAGCCCCTATTGAGCGTGTAAAGCTGTTGGTGCAGAACCAGGATGAAATGTTGAAGAGTGGTAGACTGAAGGAGCCCTACAAGGGTGTGATTGATTGTACTATGAAGACCTTTAAGACTGAGGGTATCATCCCATTCTGGCGTGGCAACTTGGCCAATTGTATCAGATATTTCCCAACTCAAGCTTTGAACTTCGCCTTTAAGGATCAAATTAAAATTCTGTTTAAGTCAAGCAAATCTGATTCATACATGCTTAAGTTTGGTAAGAATATTGCATCTGGTGGTGTGGCTGGAGCCCTCTCCTTATGTTTCGTATATTCCTTAGATTATTGTCGAACCCGGTTAGCCAACGACGCCAAAAGCAGCAAGAAGGGAGGTGGTGAACGCCAGTTCAATGGTATGATTGATGTCTACCGCAAGACAATTGCATCTGATGGCATACAAGGATTATACAGAGGATTTGTCATTTCCTGTGTTGGTATTGTGGTGTACAGAGGATGCTACTTTGGTTTCTATGACACTTTGAAACCCGTTGTGATTGGTGATAATGCTAATCTTATGGCATCCTTTGTTCTTGGTTATATTGTGACCATCAGTGCTGGTCTTGTCTCTTACCCTATTGACACTATCAGAAGACGCATGATGATGACCTCGGGTGAAGCTGTAAAGTACAAGGGTTCTATTGATTGCACAAAGCAGATTATTGCCAATGAAGGATTCATGTCCTTAATGAAGGGTGCTGGTGCTAACATCCTCAGGGGTGTAGCTGGTGCTGGTGTCTTGTCTGGCTTTGACAAGTTCAAAGAATTGTATGTGGGTTTCCGTGTAGGAAAGTCATAATACCATTTACCAACTAGGGGATTGAAAACATCAAAGTTATAAACTAATAAAAAATAATCTTGGTAGGTGAAGAATTTCTGGAATTTAGACAGAATGCTGTGACTTTGGAGATAAAAACAAAATCTGGTTTGGACTCTTCAAGAGGCAAAAAGTCTGTTTGCCTGGCTGGCTCTTTTTAATAAAAAAAAAACTAAAAAGATCATGTTGAGCACAGACATTACATTTAACCCATCACATGTATGTTAGTCCATTTTTAATTTGATGGACCCGATTTATGACAGTTAATAAACAAAATTAACTCTTTGTTGCTTTTTTTTTGCTCTTTAAGATTTGTAAAATAAAATCAATTCTGTTACTTTCCAAGCTTACAAGAAATTATTTTCCATAATCTTGAGCTTTTTTCTTTGCTTTTCACAAGCCCTACTTAATCTCCTATGCCAATTTATCTTCTCCCTTAAAAATTGTTTTTTTTATATGTAATTGCACTTCTAATATTAATCTTCTCTCTATATTTACATAGATGGTTGGGAACAGGAATGAAAAGATTTTTCTTTATTTAATTTCTTTGAGAAAATCAGTTTTTCTTTAAAATTTAAGTCTACATTTTTCTTGCACATTAATAATACATTATGGAATTTAATCTTTCTTTCATATGATTAAAACTAGATGCTAAAAAATAAATCAGTATTTTGGTGAAATTCTTGCTAAAATTGTTGCTTAAATGGCTAACTTGGAAACTAGCATTGTTTCCATATTCATACCAAAGTTTGTAAAATTCAGCTTCAAATGGCTTGTATTCACAAAATAAAGCATTAATTTTTTTTTCTTTTTTAAACTGTCTTTAACAGTTAAAAAAAATTTAATGTTTTTAAGCCTTTATTTGCAATCTGAATTAAAATTCAATATTCCATTAGCATGAATAGTACTACTGGTTTCATAATGGTGGTTATATTATTTAGTCTATGTAAATATAACTTTTTTGGTAATTTTAAGAAACCAATACTATATCTAAGTTTAGGATAACTTGATTTACTTAGCAAACTTTTTAAAGTTAATCATTAAAAAATGTATAAAGTACAAATAAAAAATAATCCAAAGCATTTGACAACTGCTAGATGTACACACCAACTTGCGCATAAACACTACTACTGCTGCTTGTGTTACTTTTTGCATAAAAAGTATAATCTGAAAGTTTATGAAAACCCTCAAGTTTAATTCAATCATTTGTTCCTCCAATACAGTATGCCAAAGTGATTACAGATTTTTACAGTGATAGTCTAATGGACTTTTGTTACTATATATACTAGCATGTGTTTAAACCTTACTGTTAGTTAACTCTGCTATACCTATGCTTGATTCAAAGGGGTGTGTTATAATTGCCACCTTTTTTTTTTGTAGAATTTCAATTTTACTATACCCAACATGTGTTTAATCTATGCTACTCTATAGAAAAACGGTTTAGCCAATTCAAATATTTAGTGCTTATGTGAATTAAAAAAAAAAAAACTCCAGAAAGCACTTGTATCTTAGGTTTGCAATATTGTTCTCATTTTCTAGTTCATGTCATTGCTAGAACTTATGCAACATCACTTAATACTTATTGTTTTACATTGTCAAATTTGTTTCCACTAGTTTCTTGGAGAAAACATACTAGAGCTGGTCTGTCTGCCTCTTAATGAAAATGAAGTGAGATATCTTCTCACTATTAATGCAACAGTCTGAATTGATTAATTATTAAGAGAAACTTGCAATATTTCTTGCACGTTCAGTTCAGGCCTGCATGTTTGAGGCAAAAATTATCACTGAAGACTTACAATTTAATTTCCCCGATTTCTTAATTGATATTTTTTGTGTTCAACAAACCTTCATCAAAAAATAAAAAAAAAAACAAAAAACAAACCTTAAGCTGATGACTCTTGGGAACAACCTATTTCATCTTGATATCGTGGACAGTTACTTTTAACTCCTTACCATTTATTAGTTTATTTTTCTTTTCCACATAGTAAATCTTCTGAGTTCCCGTATCCATGTCTCTACAGAATACTAATTAACACTAAAATTTTGCAAGTGATGTTTTAAATGTCATCTAGCATCAATCATACTTGTCTTGTACATTTTGTATTCCAGAAACGTGATATTTCTACCAAGTACAGGTGACTTCCTTTCTTTTTTTTTTCTTTTTTGTCTTCCAAATGGTTAAGAAACTTTATTTTAGACATAATTCATACTAGTAATGACACAATCAAGTTTCTTCATTTAAAAATTTTTTCCTGTTATTTATTTCTAACTTTACTGAATTCCAGAGTTAGATTCTTAATATTATTTTCCTTTTTCCTTTACTTCATATGCATAAACTGATTTTATAGGAAAATGGAATTTGTCAATCATTGAAAAGCATATTCAGCTTTCCTTATAAGTTTTAAAAAAAAAAGGAAATCTGAGCATATTAAATATATTGGAGCTTAAGAAAAAATAAAACCAGATGTATTGACAATTTCCCATTGATTAACATTTAGGAAGTTGAAAGAAGAAAAAAAATTTGCAAGCATTTTATTCTGAATTTCTGTATGGTTGCATATATTTGATAGTTAATTTGATGAATTTGTTGAATATTGCACTTGTCCTTTTATTTATTTTTTTTTTTTTTTTTTTATATCTAACTTAGTTTAAAACTTTTCTGAATGTGACAATTGTGCTTATTTGATTATTCTTTTTTATATAATAAATTACATAAAACTAAATTTTGACCAAACATGCATAAAGGACCATCATTATGAGAGGGAAACTTATGGGATTTTTTTTTGATCCTGAATACATTGTTGACACAAGTAACCGACATGACTTGCAGCAAATTTTTTCATGCACTTGTTTATTAGTGAAGCAGCGACTTGCTAGTTGACCTTCTTTTGCCCATTGTGAGCAGGACTCTTCATCACTGTCTCCATATTCACAACCTAAATGATAATAAATAATATATTAGCAACTAAGTGAATTTTCAAATTAGAAGTAATAAGCATAAGGTCAGGATGTTAAATAAAATTCAATGTAAATCTGAAAGAAAATTTTCATTCTTTTCTACTTCGTAAAAATGTAAATATATTAAATTCATTTAAGTTACTAATATGAAAAACTAAAATAAGTGAATTTGTTCCATGTAGGATATACTATACACACACTAACTGCTTTTGTATTTTGAAGATTTAATAAAATCTTGGTAATTTTGATAATTGAATTCTATATTCATATTCAACAATATAGTCTTATGTAGCTAGATGATAGGATTAAAGTCATCTGTAATGGATGTTTTTAGTCAGAATTTTCTTTGATATTAGGATTGGAGGGGATATCAGACTTAATAGCCATTACGCTTATGTTTTTTTTTTTTTTTTTTTTAAATATAGAAAGAATTTTAATACGGTGATTGCTAAATCCTAACAAATAAGCACTACTGGATTTTAAAACATTTCAGCAAATGAGGTTATACTTTACAAACTTTCAACACCATCAGCTTCATAAGTATTTTATAATAGATTTTTTTTTTTTTTTTTTTTTTTTTTTTTAAACATTACCTGGTGATTTTTTGTCCATGACTAAGATACAAGCCTGGCAGCATATTTGTGAGATAAATTCATTATAACAAGCACTGTTGCTTTTTGTGAGCACTAGTTCGTTGCAGTACTTGAACAGGCCTGTAGTCATCAGTGGGCATTTGGTGAGATCTCTTTGTCTCTCTTCCAGTGCATAGTTATCAACCTCCTGATTTTGCTTCATGGTGAGTAAATTCAGGTAAGATTTCAGAAATAATTTAGCTTTCTTTTGCATTGCAGTATTGAAATAGTTTGACCGTTTCCGGCGGGAATAACCCAAAGAGCAGTTAGAGTAAGCTGGACAAGTCTGACAACAAAAACCATCGTATGATTTGTTGCTGCACCAAGAGGTTAAACACGTGAATGTCTCTGGTCCATAGGGACAGCCTTTTTAGAGAGAAAAAAAAAGTTATTACATTTTAGATATAAGCTCATCTTAATTTTGCATAAATGGACATAATGTAAAGATACAAAATATGAAGACTACATCAGCTATCACGATTTATGAGGACTATTGTCTTCATTGTTATGTACACATTGTGTCCTTTGGTCTTCATCAGGTGTATGTTGATCCAGGTAACCTTTAGTTCAGAATGCCTTGTAGGCAACCTAGATCATCTGATAAAAGCTGGCAGGTGTAACAGCTGAAATATAATATCAACAAAGGACAATAGTCCACATGTAAATAGTGTAAATCTCATCCCAGAAATTCAAGATGACAAGGTAGAATCAATTCTACAGTGTTGATGCATTTCAGTGGCCTAGAGGGGGTTACATGATACTAGGTATTTCTAAGTAAATTTTACCAATGATAATGTGAATAATCACTTCAAACAATTATCAATTTTTTTGCTCAATATTTACAAGTTGTCTTTTGTTTAAAAATGGATATTCAAAATGTAATTACTTACACATATCTTTTGTTAGGTGTTTGGAACATGAACAGACACATGCTTCCTGAAAATAATCCATGCCACATATTTGGGGAATCATTTCGATAAGTTGAGAGCAATTGCGGCTTGGGATCGGTCTTGGTTTGTCACCAAATAAACAAGGTACTAGATAAATTTAACAAAAAACAAACAAAAATCAATATAATTTTTAATATCTTATATATTGATAATAAAAATGAATGATTTGTAAGCAAACAAAAATAAAATGTGAATTCTGTCTAAACCAATGTATTTGATAGGATAAAGGACATAGTTTTATAAAATGCAGCATCCATTTAAGTAGAGTTTTCAGGAAAATAATTGTTACAGCTCAATATTGGTGTACAGAAAGGTTTTGTTTTCTTAAGAAAGGGTGTTAAAATTCTGATGTCTGGTTAGATTTTGAAAAATGGATTGGGTTAATAGAATTTCAGTGCCCCCTCCCCTAAACAGCAATAAAGTACATTTCAGTGTTTTAAAAAATTATGTTTACTACTTACATGATATATTTGGGGCCTTACTTGAATAAATACAATCACCCTGTTCACACTGCTGGAATGGAAACAGTTTAATAAGAATTATTTTATGTAAAGTTTTCATATTTTTAAATGTTTTGAGAGGTATTTACAAAATCAGTTGTTTTTTTTTTTTTTTTTTTTTTTTTTTTTTTTTTTTTTAAGATGCTTTAAAATACTTACTCATATAAATGAATAAAAACTCATATACTATTTATTATTCAGACCAGCATGCTCATCTTGGTTGTTAGTGTTTCAGCCATTGTATCACCCGACTTTCTTCCTGCATCTGTTATGACCTCAGAATTTTGAACTGAAACTTTATACAATCCATGAAAATAGACTGTACTCATTCCACTTTCCATGCTTAAAGGGAGATAACTCATCAGTTAATTCTTAGGGCTGTTTCTTTGACTGACATTATTTTCAACACTACCAGACTCAGATTAAACTCTCAACTGTCAGGGAACCTTTAATGTTTTAACCAATGCTTTAATCTAATAGGCCATGTTTTTCTTGGACAGTCTGATGGTGTAATTTTGGAACCTTAAACTTAATGTTTGTATTCAGGTGATAGAATTGTATGAATTGTATTCTTTACCTGAAGAAGACAACCAAAATATGCATGTTGTTCTGAATAATAAGGTATGTAATGATAATTCTTTATATAAAAAATTCTAGTATAAAATAGAGAACTATTTTGAAGATTGTTGAAGAAATAGTTCTTTTATTCTGATTGAAATAGAGCAACATAGTTTGATTAATTTAACTGTGAAATGTATTTGTCAGTCTCTTTTATCTGTTTTGAAATTGCTAGTTTGTAATAATATATAAATTGAAATCTGGGGATAAATAATTATGAAAATTGGTGTCATCTATCACATTTTTATGTACCAATCCTAGAAAAGTCAACTTGCATTCCTTAGCTTTTTAAAGTAAAAAAATCGTATTCAAAATATGAAATAAAGTAAAAAGATGTTTAAAAAATGGAAATTTCAGAATTTTCAGGAAGAAACCCTTTTGTGTCATTATTACTAGCATGAAATAAATTATTGTAGCTGTGTATGTAAGAGATGGCTACAAAATAAAAGAAATGAAAAAGGCATTTTGTGAAAAATACTGTGGTTGTTTTATAGCTTTTCTTGTTATACTGGAAAATTAGCTTCAAAACTGGTTTTGGCATTGAATTCCTATTCTATAAAAGCTGATATTTCACAAAAATACACTTATGATAACTTCCTTTTTGAAAAAGAACATGCAGAAATTTTGTGCTTCATTATAAAGATGAAAAGAACTACAGGGTGTGATGAGTAAATTGTCACCATTTTATATTTTTAATTTTGTGCATGCATGTTGTTTTTTTTAAATTTTGTTGACTGCACAGTATAGTAGGGTTAGTTGGGCTCCGTCTGTGAAAAAAAGAGCACCATGATGCAATTCACTCTGCCAGAAATTTGGAAACGGCATGCTCTACTGCTCTGCATTTGCACTGGAATCTCCAATACAAACATTTCAGAGTATTTAGGTGTCAATCTGAGGACAGTGCAGAGGATTTGGAAAGAAATGGATGAGTAATGGTGATTATGAAGGTACAGCAGCTCACAAAACACACTCTGATCATTCTGATAAGAAAAAATCCTGAATTTGTCAGTGAGGGCCTCAGACTCAACACTGCATCCTACTGCCTGCATCAAGTGCCTTGAGGAGGTAGTGCAGCCCTGGTTTAAGTGGGTGGCAGCTAGAAGAACCTATGTCTGGCAGTAGGACTACACAAGCAGAAAAACCCAGTCATGGCTGTCAGACAATTTCTGTGACCACATCAGCCCTAACTCCCCAGATTGCAGCCTCCTTGATTATTATGTGTGGGACGCAGTTGAATGATAGACCCACAAAACTTGTAACACCAAAGATGAACTGAAGACAAGGATTATGACAGCATTCACTAACTTAAACAAGGAGACTCTCCATAAGAGCTGCAGGAGATTCTGAAGTTGTCTGGAGTTTGTGTTTGAAGCCAATGGTGATTTTATTGAATAAATTTACTCTAGTATTTCAAGATATTTTGTGTATCTATTTTCATAAATATAATTACAACTGGCATTATTATTGGAAATCATGGTCTCACTACTAGTCAGTATGTATCTTATAGTATAAAAGATTTCTCATAATCCTTTACATGCAGTAAGTAAAATCTCAACAATCCTACTGAGAGATTGCTGCATTGTCCTTCATTGATGGCAAATTGTTTTGTGTTCTCTATCTGGCATTTGCATTTTTCTGTCAGAATATAGTCTCTACATTAACAGAAGAATCTTATATGGACATGTGCTAGGTAAGAATATATTACATATAAAATGCATATGCATATATTGTACTTACATATTTTGTTTCAAAATATTTTAAACCATTAAAACAAATAATCTATCTTGTTGCAAAAAGAATTTTCGCCAAATGCTTTGTAGTAATTTTTACTATTTTCACTTGTGCTTATTCTGTTGACTTATAACATTGTTTATGAGCATTACATTTAAATGTCTTATTAAATTCTTTCTTGTATTGTCTCCTTTAAATACTTGATCATTTTAGTTGTAGTTGTTAGAGTTGGGACATCATCATTTTCAGATGTTATATTTAATAATTGTCTTAATATTAGTTCTCTAGAGAGTTGAATTTAGATATTGTCTCTTCTGGATGCTTACTTAATCCTCAACACCTCTCACCTTCAGATTTAAGATAGGAACCATAGTTATTTAACATCCCCAATTTTTAATTAACTGATATTTGTTAATTAACAGTAATTATTGTAATCTTATGATATAACAGCTATTAATTTGCATTATTTTTTACAAAAGTTTATAATCACTTATAATATCTCAAATAAAAATGTTTCACCTTTTGTGAGCTACATACTGTGCCCGGAGCAGAGATTTGAGGCTTCACTTCGGCATTTGTAGATCCATTTATTGGTATGACACACAATATAAATTTGCAGACATCTTGACTATAAATGTTATGCTAAAAAATTTAAAAAAATGATAGAACAAAATATTAAAATCAAAGAAAAGAATTAAGTTGATTCCAAACATAATTTGATAACAATAAGTTGGCAAAGTTTAACCTTCATGTCCACAAAAAAGCAGTCTTTCAAAAGGACTGTTTTTTCTGTTGACATCATTATTACTGGAAACTACCAAGATTCCCTTAGTAATGTTTATTATAAAGATTATAAAAATGTGTGAACAAAGTTCAATGTAAGATTTATTATTTACCATTTTACAAATAAATAACTATGGAAACAAGTTTTTTTATTGATAACTAGCAGCATAGCCTGGCGTTGCCTGTGCTTGATTCAAAAATCGTACGACTCATACAGCAATCGCTATCACTTGACTTAAAATATTTTTGCCCTTCCTTGCCTTTAAAGGAGTGCCCTTTGCCATGCTGATGTTGCTACATGCCTTACTTCTTGCCTATCTCACACTGTGAATTTTTTCTAAGCTCTATACTAAACATTAAATTGGTTACGAAAAAAGAACTAAACAAAATGATCAGCTTTAAAAAAGGACTTGTAACTGGAAAAACCGAATGAAAAAGAATGTTAACAACAAATACTTTTTCACACCCAACCCAGTTCTGCGGAATCAGAATCAACGTTGAGTTTAAGCAAGCGAATGAGCCAATTGGAGTAAAGTGCCATGCAGATTTTAATTTTTCCCACTTGTGACGAATGCAGCTATCGATTTTTTTTTTTGCATGCTAGTTAACATTCGTGTCAGTCAGCTGTTGGCTCTCATGCTGGCCAATAGAATCTTCCTGCCTATGCGTGGCAGCCAGCTATAGGCTCTCACGCTGGCCAGTAGAAAATGACCACAAACTACATGAAAACTGCTGTAGAAGCATGAAAAAATTGATTATTTCCACTGTTGATGGGAGTTGGAAAATGCAAAGTCAGTCTTGGCCTTCCTGCTAACTTGGAGCATGTGCATGTAAATTTTGGTGCAAATTCATTGAAAATTGCAGTCGTGCATTCGTTACACACACATCCTGCCTTTCATAGATAGAGATTTTATAAAAATACCTATGAAGTACAGAACAAGAAAGTTTAAATAGATATGATTTTTCTGGATATTATAAATTTTCTCCTCAAATTATTTTATATCTCAGATTACTTTTTGTTTTAATTTTCCAATTTTTTTTATAAGGATGCCTAATCAATAGAAATAGAAACTCCAGTAGTTATCCCACTTTTTACTTATCTTTTGAAAAGTATAATTTTGAAAAAGATTTTTAATTTTTCTAAAAATGCCTAGAAATTCTGCCAATAGATTATTTATTGTCAGCTGAGTGCTAACTGATGAAGAAATCTTAAATTAAATACCTTGACTAAAACAATTGGCAAAGCTGATTGTGTTTTTTTAATGGTTGGCAAAACAATGGCTAATTGCCAATTGATTTGAAATTTATAAAATCATAAATAATAAGGATTTCATTATAGTTCATTCTCATAGTTTTATAATTTAGTAATTTTTTCATAAATTTATGAATAAAAAAATTATTTATTTCATTATAAATTGGTAAATGATAAACATTGCATTGTATTAATTTTAATACAATTGTATTAGTTTTTATGATGTTGTAAATATAAAATTTTTCTAAATAAATAATCTAACAAATACTGTTTAATATTTTTGTTGTAAATTTTCAAGAAAAAGAAAATATAAAAATTCAACATTATATGTTTAGGTTTTATTAAAATTCTAATAATTGCTTTTAAAACAGTAAATTTTGACGAGAAGTGAAGATAGTTAAAATAATAGCAGTGTCATGGGGAAAAAAATGTTATTTTGACACTATTTTTTTGCAGGCATGACGATTAAACATTGCCAATAAGTTTATCAAAATTTCTAAGGGCATCATTAATTCTATCATGACAAATTTGGCAATAGGGTAGCATTAAACCAAAAAGTTTGTTTAAGTAAAAATAAAAGACATTTTTTAAATACATATTGAAATAAAAGTTGCCACAATATACAGAAAACCAAACTTCTTGAATAAACTAAATGACAAAAACTGAACAAAATTTTGTGGATGCTTAATAAATAGACAAAAATGGATAAAACAACTATGACAGATAAAGAGAACAAAGGTGCAGGACATTTCCCTATGAAATTTTGGTTTGTGCAGAAATTTCATAAAAAAACATACAATTTGCACATTTTTAAGTAAGACTGTTGTTGGTAACAGCATTCATAAATTGAATTTGCAGCTTGTTAGTTTAGAAAATTTTAATAAGTTACTTTAGGCTAAGTAGAAACAATACTTTTATGCATAACTGCCAAAAACATAAGTTTAATGAACTGATTACAACAACCAGAATTAAACTTAGTACTTCTATGGCACAATAGCTTGATTGGTTTGGACATCCACATAGTCAAGTGGTCAATAAATGTTTTATCTGAGCCTGGATCAATGGGCAGTATTATGAAAACAAATTATGTTATCAGTAAAATCAAGGTGTGAGAGTTTCAAAACAACCACTCATCGTCCATAGATAGGGAAAAGGAAATAAAATGTATAAAGTGAAACTCAATTGAAAAGTAGGGAATTTGATTCCAGATTTTGTTCACACTGACATAAATGGGAATCAAACCACAGCATTGAACACTCTGACCAGTCAGTGAAAAACTGCCTGAAGAACCTAGTTGCATATTCACATCTCTACTTCTTTAAGAAATTGATTATATACTCTTAATCCACTATACTGTTTAGCAGTTGTTATCAAGTAATTAAAGATAGGGAAATGCATATGCATATATACATAGACAAAAACAGTTTAGAAAATAGGTTGTAAAAGAAGTGTAAAAAGAAAAATCAATCAATATTTAAACACTTATCGTTTCTTTAACATGATAAACATTTTTAGTTCATGCAATCAGGAGTGATAGAATAGATTTAAAACAAGGATCCAAAATGTAGACAATTGTAATGAGATCCAGAACAACATCCAGATCTAAATGAAATCTTCTGAGAAAAACATATTTGATAGGATTGATAAAAAAATTTTATTACTTTAACCTGGACAAATTGTTACCATGCAATTCTGTATTATGAGTGACTCATTTAAATGATGCACTGGAACAAAAGAAAAATTTTTGAACAGTGATATCAACTGATGATCATACTGCATGATAACATCCGTCAATTTGCAAATATGATATATGATCATATCACTGAGATGTTGCTGGTATTCAGGTTTTCAGTTTTTCAATCTCTCTTTCAAGTAATAGACTTCCATGCTCATTTCTCTAATAAGTCTGACCAACATGCTTTCTTACTCAATTTGTACTTTACTTCATCTCCTAATTCTTGTTGTGCAAAGCAACTCTCTCCTCTTAGCAATTCAAATCATGTTATAGTTTTTACTGATATTTCCTTTGACTTGTCTATTAGGCATGAATCCCTTATTCACAAGAATTCTTTCAGGTATCAGCATGGAATTCATTTTTCAATTTTCTTTCTGATGACCCTTGGAGTGAAATCATTAGTTTTCCTATTGAAAATTGTACCTCTGATGTTTCTTCTTGCATGAAATGGCATTAAGGCTTTTATGTCATCTTGCAAATACCAGATAAAAACATTATTTTCCTTGGTTCACACCTATCTGCTTACCTGCTGTAGCTTATATAAATCACTTTTTCCAATTGTACCAACATGATAGCTCTGATCACAACAGTTACCTCTTTGTGCCCACTTGTAATAAGTGCAAATGTATCCTCCAACAGGTTAAGTCATTGTTCACAATTAGAGTGAGGTACTGTATAGCATCTCACAAGTTTGGTTCTCACAACTACTAGCATCTCTGTAGGAGTGTGTTAAATCCCTTCTCCCTTCAATCAAGTTCTATAAAGCAGAAGGCTTTTCTCTCAAAATCTCTTCCAATTCTACTCTTTTTCCTGACATTCCACTTAGAACTGAGTCTCTACTGAGTGATATGCATATAACTTCTATGGTTTCTACTATCATCTCCAAACTTGATCCCCACAAGGCATATAGACTCAATGGCATCCCTGCAATTATCCTTAAGTAATGTGCCCCTGAACTGGCCCTTGTTCTACAATAGATGCCTTGCTGTTTCTTGCTTTCTAGATTGTTGGAAATCCTTTTCTGTAGCTCCTGTTTTAAAGAACTCTGCTAAAGAGTCTGATCTTTTAAACTATCGACTAATTAGACTTCTACCTCTCTTTAGTAAAGTACTAGAGTCCTTAATAAACTCTAAAATGGTTAATCATCTTACTACGCAATGTCTTCTTTCTGATAAACAATATTGCTTTTATTTGTCAAAAATCAAATTGGCAGCAGATCTTGAAAATGGACAGTTAATTGGAGTAAAAAATGATTTGTTAATTTTAATACATCCATAATAAAAATGCTCTCTATTTATCATCTTTTTTTGTCTCTATCAATATGGCTGATGTTAACATCCTGGTGAGCTACCAACTCACTGTCCCTTCTTGGTTTTCCACTGACATGACATAGAATGAATATATTGAATAAATTGCTAAATCTGCTGCTAAGAAAGTTGGTCCAATATGTTGTGCTAGATAATTTTTCTTCATAGAAACTATCTTGCATATTTTTAAGTCTTCCATTTGTCTGTGCATTGAATATTACTGCATCTACATCTGCTCTGACACTTCTATTTTATATCTAGAGATTCTTGATAAAATTCAAAGAAGAATCTGAAATGTTATAGATCCTGACCTGGCATCTCAGTCACTCCCACCACTGTAATGTAGATTCCCTTTGCATTTTTAATAAATATTTTCATAGTAATTGTTCTGATGAGCTTTCGTCATGGGTACCTTGACTTCACAAAATTAACCACAGTACTAGGTTTCATAATTTCATTGTTGGAATTACTAGTAACTGTAAGTTCTATGCTAATAGAATTTCTCACTTGCATAACTTTCTTCTGATTTCCTGCTTTCTTGTCAATTAAAATCTTCAAACATTTAAATGCAGTATCAATCATCATCTTTTGTTTCCTTAATTCCTATTCTTTTGTTGTCCTCTCTGTTACTTTCACACTCAATGTCCTCTTGCATCCTGAGGTGAAGTGGTTAAAAAATAGTATGTTCTCCTACTGTTTGTCTACTTTTAAAACCTATCTGAAAAAATACATAACATCTGACATTTCAACAATTACTTTTTTGATCTATACAATAATTCTTATCTGGACAACAGTTCCACCAAGTTCACGATATCAAAAAATTCCTCAAGGAATCAAAACCAGAAATTTTTTCATGATAGAAGAAACAATTTACTTGCAAGTGGCTTAATTTTATAAAAAGCCACAGAAACTAATTTTAAAACCTGAAATGAGATGACATAAATTTTATGGATTAAATATGTCCCCAAAATTGTTGGAGGTTTTTGTATCAACCAGATAATTTGGTATGAGGCAATGATTAACAGGCAAGTCTGGTTGACTATTGTAACCAAGTAGTGAATTCACTCCTCAAAGAATGCTGCATACTTGTGTCCTTGTGCCAAAAGTAAGCTAAAATTTAGTAAATAACAATTTAATATTTGTACTTTTCTATCATCTTTTATATTTCCCAATATCAAGCCATGAAATATTCACACACACACACACACACACACACACATGCAACCATACAACTTTGTTATTGATGATTTATGTGGAAGAAGTAAAATGATATTTACCCTGTATATATAGCTTGTATTCCCAAAAGCAATCTGACATTGTTCATCCAAACTATAAACATGTTCAGTTATTTCAGCTGTATTATTGTTACAGCAGTCCATTGATGTTTGTTCACCACAATTACTTCCTTGTCTAAAATAGTGAAAAGATATTGAGTTTTAGGAAATACTCCTTTTTAAGAAAGATAAGTATTTGTTAATTTCTTTTTATTAATAATTGGCAATACTGTTCATATCTATCTATCTATCTATCTATCTATCTATCTATCTATCTATCTATCTATCTATCTATCTATCCCTGAAATAGTTTCATGAAATATTAAAAAAGAATTTCTTTCAGTTGAGGGCTAGAACAAAGAGAAGATATTTTTAATATAAGGCATGAAATTGCATCTAAAGATAAGGCATGAAATTGCATCTACTTAACATATATTTGTTGGTTGTCTTAATCAGCAAATTGAATAAAATTTCATAAAAGATTAACTTTTATTGTAATTCTATTTATATTACCCTATCTTCTTTTCTGACTTCATTTACTTCTTGAATAAAATGTATGGCAAATTCTATTATGCAAGTCAGTGACTTCACAATAAAATTGGTATTAACTGATGTTGGTAAAATTTTTAGGATATACTTATATGAGCAATATACTATATTTTTTTATAAGAAATATTTACAATAAAATACTTGGTAGTGTTGTTGCTAATGCAAATAAATACAATTATGAATATAGTTACTGATATTTTTTAATTTCAGATTTATAAATATCATGAATCCTAAGAATTTAAAAGAGAAACAAATTATTGTAAAGTTATTCATTGTTTAGAACACAAAATGCAAAAAAGTTGCACAAAGATGAAAGATATAAAAATGACCAATTGCTCCCTTTAAGTAAATACCACAAAGTTAAATGTGTAAAAAGGGTAAAGAAGGAAATATAGACTGATTTATCTACAGTAATTCTTACTGTTGAATGTAAAGCTACATTGGCTAAATCTGATGGCTCTTTCATAGAAATAGTCAATCAACATAACTTAAAAGACAATAAATGGGAGGAGGAATAATGTTTTGAGCTATTGTGACACTGAGATCTCTAGAGGTTGATCAAACAAAAAGAGAAAGAAAGAAGGAATTGTTGAGAGCCTACTAACTGGATGATAATTGTTGAAATTGCAGGATGATGTATTTTGAAGTTGAGTAGAAAATTAAAAATGAAATGTGTTGAAAAATCATGTTTTGAGATAATTCTAAGGAGAATTGAAACCAGACTTAACTAAGTGAAATTCAGATTGAACAAACCCAAGTCTGCCTGTCTTTCCTCACCTCCCACCATTATGAAAGAGACCATGAAGGTATCTGTGAAGATGTCAGATAAAATAAAAACATACGTTATTGATAGAGAAATCTAGGTGGTTAGCAAAATAGCATTCATGATTCCCCTGGATCAGATAAAATAAAAATTTGAATCAACTACCCACAAGAAAAGAATCCCCATGCATTTGTCATTATAATTTCAGTGACATTCATCCAGAGAAAATTTTATATCCAGACATTAATTTGGATTCCTGTGGATACAAGTGGTAAGAAAAAATTAATTACTATTTTGAAGTGACTATGGACAAGAAAGCTGTGTAGTCTATTCGATTGTAAAAAAAAATGCATAAGATAGAGAAAAGATAAACTTTCATTTTGAGGAAAGTGGAAATAGATTTATTTTTCTCCAATTTTTTAGTAGTATGGTTAATCAAGAGGATCCTAGCATGGGGTAAGCTGATAGATAAGGACTAATGACTGGAAATCCCTTTTGTCTTCACTGTGCCATCTGGAAGTTAGATTTATTACTCCAGCCCCAAGAAGCCAAACTGAGGTTGACTGTTGAGAAAATGGGAGAAGGAAAAGGAAGAGAAGGGAGAGAGAGAGAGATTAGCACCACCTCTATAGAGTGATGGTACAAGGTGAAGTGTAAAGAGAGTAGGAGTTAAGGGGTAGCTTGATCCATCTGACCACTCTCAAAAGGGAGCTGGACAATCCCAAATTTGGAAAACCACTTGAGTAAGTGTATTTTTATATACGGAAATTTAGAAAAGGTTGATATTTCGGGTAGAAGACACCTGAACCCAAACCCTAGTCAACCCCACTCCTGCCAAATGCAGGACTCCATATAAGATGGAGATTTTGGATTCTGAAACAGGTAAGTGTTGAGAGTAGATTGCAGACACAACAAGAAGAGGGAAAGAGTGTGACACACCGTAATCTGTATCATTTGCCAAGACCTCCTAACGAAAGTCCTTGTGTCGGACATGAAACCAGAATTTAGAAATTTAACTTACAACTAAAACAAGCTGCAGACTACGAGGGGGATACCAGTGTCATTTGATGTAATAGTTGATCTAAAAATGAATTTCCTTGTCCGGGTTCCTCTCTGCTCGGAGGCAGAGAGTTCGACCAGCACGGCTGAAAAGATTTCAGCTAAAGTATCTAGCAACTGCTCCCCACAGTTACATGTGGCACAAGGCCGAATTTAATGTGGGTTTCCCAGGCCCGTAAGCTCGGCCAAAAATCCTTGTAGACCCCACATAAACCGGATCGGATTGGTTTACCTTCTCAAATGAGACTCTGCCCTTCAGCATAGCCTTGTCCGGGTTCTTCTCTGCCTTCAGGCAGAGAGTTCAACCAGCACAACTGAAAAATATTTCAGTTAGAGTATCTAGCAACTGTTTCATGCACATGTGGCACAAGGCCGAATTTAATTTTGGGTTCCTGAGCCCATAGGCTCAGTCAAAAAATCCCTGTAGACCCTGCATAAATGGGATTGGGTCTGTCTACCTCACCAAACAAGACTCTGCTCAAAGACAGAGAATTCGAGAGTACAAGTGAAAAAGATTTCAGCTAGATTCTGTAGTCTGTTGACTTACAGATACGTATAGGTAGTTACCACCTATAGTGTAGTCACTCATGGGGTGACAGGTTATTCTATTACATCAATTTTCCATAAAATCACTATTTTAGAATTATTATGTGAAAATAACAACATTCTACATTAAATTTAAAATTTTTAGAGATTTTTAAACTAAACATTTTCAGAAAAATCAAATCCAGAGCCTATTACAAGATTAACTTTCTGTATTAGTATTACAAACTAAGAATCTTGTTTGTAATATAAAAAGGTAACTTAAGATTATTTAGATGTAAAATTTTCAAATATTACTCTTTAATGTCTTCCGGAACGATTTTTAAAATATTTTTAAATATTCATTTAGGATCAACTGTAGAATCTCCATTGCAACTCAACTGTAGAAGCGCCCAAACATGTCTGGGGCAAAGAAATTCTTCCCTTGATCCAAATTATTTTTTTTACATCAAGTAGTAGAACCACAAAAAAGATTAAAGATTTGTTTCTCTAAAAAAACAAAAACAAAGTTAAGTCAGAAATGTAATTATTTAATGTTTATTGTTTTAAAAAGTTTATTTTAAAACACGATTTTTTTACAACCATTACTATGGATTCAATTTTAAATTATTATATTGAATATAAAAATGAAATAAAAAGGGATAAGAAAAATGTATAAGAAAAAAAAGATATTTAATTTTAAAAATTGAATTTAAGAAAAGATTTAAAAATCATTGGCTGTATAGGATAAATTTCTGCAAATATTTGCTTCTATTTTTAAGCAACATTTCCCTATGCCATTATAAGATGTGAATGGGTCACCAATGTGTCTAGCTAAATTTGGGATAGTTAAAAAATTATCAACCTTTTTTTAAAACCCCATTTTCAGCCTTGTGCCAAATTGTATCTTATTTTTTAAAACCCCATTTTCAGCCTTGTGCCAAATTGTATCTTATAATAAATAAAAATTCCCTAAGCCGTTGAATGTGCTCTTTTCCTAGTCATTTCTTTTTCTACTTTTTTCATCGATTAGAATGAGTAAACAACAAAAACTGAATGGTGCGGCTTACCGCAAGTTAAAAGCTACCAGAGAACACTAGGAAAGACAACGTGTGCACCTTTACATGTTTTCCTACAGAAGAAATATGTAGCTAAAGCAAAATGCAAAGATGACGATGATGAATGTACATCAGAACTTGGAGATGGGGGGAATATGGAGAAAATGCGAATATGGTGGAGACAAATATAGAAATAAATGTTGAAAATGAAATTATTGCAGTAATTAATGTTGTTAAAGAAACTGAAGATGACAATGATGATGTACCAAAGAAAGAGATCTCCAGTGCATGTGGTAAGGACATGTAAGATTAAAGAAGAAGGAACTTATGAAATTACTGCAAATAAAGAAATAGAACAGGCAAACAAGAATTTGCTCAGGGAAGTTGCTTGTTGATCTTGTAACATTGGGACCTAAAAAGATTCAAAATAAAGATGAACAGTTTGCTCCGACTGTAAGACCGAGGAAAATAGCCCGAGGGTAATGGCACAAAACTGATTTTACAAAACTATGGAGAATGGAGATAATGTTTTGAGATCATGGTTGCTGTACTCATAGACGAACAAATCTCTTTATTGTTTCTGCTGTCGCCTCTTCCTGAAGACAGAGAAACGCGAATCAAGACAAGCAAGAAATCCAGGATTTCAAAAGTTCTGGAAGCTTAATTAAAAAATGCATGAACATGAAAATTCATCTGACCACCAAAGAGCTTTCAAGGAATGGAAGATGTTGGAAATGATCCTTAATAAAAGTAAAACTCTTGACAGTAAATTACAAGAACAAACTATGAAAGAAAAACAGATTTGGAGACAGGCTTTAATACAGTTACTTGATGTGAAGTTTCTGACGAAACAACACCTGCCATTTAGAGGTCATCGAGAAGATGTATATAGTTCCAATAAAGGTAACTTTATAGAACTTGTTGAACTCATGATCAGGTATGATCCTGTTCTTGGAAAGTATTACTTAAAAGAAGTAAATGATAACTGGTGGTACTTGTCACCAAAAATCCAAAATGAATTCATTCATATCTTGGGAAACCACGTAAAAGAAAATATATTGAATCAAATTCGAAAAGCCAATTATTTTGCAATCATACTAGACAGCACGCCGGACATTTCTCATACTGATCAGATGAGTTTCATTTGTCGATATGTCGTTGTTGAAGACAAAGAAGTGGGGGTGCGGAAATCATTTATTGGTTTTATCACTGTGCATAGGAAGAAAGATTATGATATTAAGAAGATGATTTTAGATCGACTGGAGAAAGAGAAAATTGATTTCAAAAAATGTAGACGGATAGGATTTAACATTGCAGTAGTATGGCTGGAGTTCATGGTGGTGTTCAACATCTATGAAACAAATGGGAAAGATAAATTTGAGTCATGTTATAATTATAGTTTGAATTTATGCGGTGTTCATATCTCACCTGTGAATGCAAGTGCCATTACATTTTTCGGAGTGATTGAGATACTCTGTACATTTTTCCCCTATTCCAATCACTGGTGGGAAGTTTTATCTTCGCATGTGAAGGTCATAATGAAGCGTTTGGTAATCATCCGTTAAAAAATGCATGTTACGAAGCTATTCCTGCAGTGAAAACTGGATTTCAAAGAGTGATTTATTAGCTTCAACTTCAGAAACTCTTTAAATGAGAGGTGATGCATAAATCATTTTGCTTTCAATTGAAAACTTCACCTTCATGTCACATTTGTTTTACTAGGAATAAATTCTGGGACAAATAAATCTCATCCAAACGAAACTTCAAGAATCTAGTATTGGTTTGGATGTGTGTGTAAACCACATGGATGCAACCAAAAATTTCTTTAACCGAAACAGGGACACGCTGGTATCTGAATCAGTTAATCAAAGTGCGAGAAAATGGAAATTCCAGTTGAAAAGTGGATTAGAATAAAGAGAAAGCTACCTGGCCCGGGGGGGGGGGTAAGGAAGGCGAAGATGATGTATGTCAAACACTTGAGCAGGAAGTGAAGAGAAGTCTTTACGAATGTCATGATCGACTTGTAAATGAACAGGAAGCACGAGTTGACTCCATGTCTCGTCTGCAAACTGTCTTCACTGGATTATCATCGCAAGCAATCCTGCAAGATACTGAAGGCGAGTTGCAACAAATATTTAAAATTCTCAGCAGCGAATACGATGCTAACTTAAATTGCCTTTGGAAGTTCTCGGACTTAGGGATTTTTTAATGGCAACTTCCAAAGGGGAATGTGACATGACCATGATGACCAAATTATCGGCTATCGATGGCAATTTCAAGAAACATTGCCAAATATTGTGATTGCTCTACGGCTGTTTTTGACGCTCACAGTTTCTGTTGTTCTTGCAGAAAGAAGCTTCTCAAAACTGAAGCTCATTAAAAGTCACTTGAGATCGAGTATGTCGCAAGATTGCTTATCCAGTTTGTCTCTCATCTCAATTGAACATGAAACTGTGGAAAAGAAAGACTTTGACAAGTTATTAGTAACTTTGCTTCTGCAAAAGCTCGAAATATGATAACATTCATTCAGCTAATTTTTGAATTTGTTGTTTTTCAAGTACTAATCAACGCCATTAATGGTATTTCATTTATATTTTTCCTCTAAAAAAAAGGGGTTGCCATTATGAATACAGGCTCCGGGCAGCACTTTGCCTTTGTACACCCCTGATGAGGGCATTAGTTTTAATTTAAATAATGTAATTAAAGATGGAAATTAACTCAAAGAATCATAGCTTGAAATGAGTATTTGTTAGCTAGCTTACTCAATGATGTCATCCAAATGCTCCTCAATTTGTTTAATTGAACATGATGAGAAATACCAGGGATTGGTGGTATTGGGTTGAACCTGTCTGCTCTGGGACATGATGTAATGGCTTTCTTTGCTACAGTTGTTATTTGTACCATCATGTTGACTTCCAAGACTAAAATGGAAACACAAGAAAAAAGAAAGAAAAATAAGACAAAACATGTATAATATTGTAATTTACTTCATTTATTATTTCCTGCATTTACATATTCCCACCAGATATCTGGTGATTGTTGTTGGGTATCAAGTGACAGAAACTCCCCTCAAATCTTCAACAACTTTTTAGTATCTTAGTAGGCTCCCAGTAATGTTGTGGTCAATAAAGTTTCACAACCTTTCCTCAAATTTCTAACTTGCCTTATTGCAATTGCAATGGTTTGGGCATGGTTCCAAATGCATCTACTATAATAGGCACAATTCTAAACTTCATTTTTCATATTTTTGTCAGCTTCCAATGTCCTGGTATTTTTGAAAATTCTCATTCTTCTTCATGATCACTCTGTGGTTTGCTGGTACAACTATGCAAATGACCGAGGAAGTTCTTCCTTTATGATTATCAGATACAGTCTTCTTCCTTGGATGCAGTTGTCAGTTTGAGTTTCAGAAACCCAGGGTATTTTGGGATTTTTATTTTCCACAATAGTCTCTGACTTATGATGATATCATTTGTCTTCATAAATGAACCCCGTTCATTTGCAATTTTTCTGTGTATGCTTTTCATTACTGTATTAGGCTTATTGTTCTATTTTTTGGGGATCAGTCTTCTACATTTGCTGATTATATGGTTTGCTGTTTCATCTCCTTCTTTGAAAAGTCAGTATTTAATGATTTATAGGTTTTATCAGTTATTCCTTTGATATGACTTGTCCTGATACAATTCTTCTGGGCTGCAATGATAAAAGATTCCATTTCTTTCTTTGGGTGTCTTCTGTATAGCCATATCAATGATTTTTTATCTGCAATATTTTCTATTTGATTCTTAAACACTCTACATAGTGATGATTTCTTTTCTACAAGTTTCTTTCCTTATGTTTATCACTCTTCTTTCATTTTTCATTATTATTAACAAACTTCTGCATAAGCAGGGAAAAGAATTCAGTAGAAAAATAAATACCTTCCTTAAGAATGCAAGAATCAGAAAATATAAAGGAAATAATTAAATTTATAATAATTAGAATTTTGGCAAATATTTCAAAATTCCTCTTGAGAAGACTGGAACAAAGAGAAAACCAAAATAAAAGAGCAAATCTACAAACTGTTAACAAAATACTGAAGTAATTAAAATACTTGTCATTTGGTTTTCTTTTGAACTTGGTAATTAACACTGGCATGAAAGTAATGTTAATAATAAAAATATAATTTTGAATATTTAGTCATTTCACAAGCATTTTCTGCATGCTCTCTCTCTCCTTCTGTCTTTCTCTCTTAACACAGACACAGGTGCATACATACACATTATATATATATATATATATAAAGAAATTATGACTACCCATCTATTAAGGTGTTGGTCTACATTTTCCTGCAAAATAACTATTATCTGATCAATCATGGACATTCAAGTTAGGTGCCATGCATAACGCATGATTGGCCAATCATTTCTCTTTCAATTCACGAATGACTAAGCATAAGATTTCCTGCAGTAAGCTGCTATTTCTTTGTGCAGTAGACTGGTTACCAACCAATTTTATACAACCCAATCTGTTATGCTATTCAACCCATAGCTGGGGGAAGGTGAAGAGAGGGATTCAAGAGTATTTGCACATAAGTGAATGTAATAAACCTGACTGGAATTTGAACTTAGCTCTCTGATTTCTCATTCTATTGCCCTATCTCCACTGGCTTCTTTCTCTATAGTGCATTTTAGTGTCATAACTTTCTGATGATAATGATGCATATATACCATGCCACTCCAAGAGAAAGTAAGATTTATCAGAATGACCTTCCATTGTAACAAGGGAAAGTTTCAACTCTTGTATATCCATTGAAAACACTTTTGGTAATGAACTTTGGTTACCAAAGGCACTCTGACTAAACTTTGACTATACAACCCCATATACAACAAAGATTGATGTACTGTGTATTGTAATGCATTCCTTTATTCATCTGATTAAAGCTATCTGCAACTGATGCCACAGAGGCTCTTCTGTTGGTTTGTACTTGGTGATAAATGTTTTGTTCACTTCTTTCATCTGTGAAACCCAACAAACCAATGTCTTGATAGTTGGTGATTTTTCCTCTTCAGATTACAGCTGTGCATCAGGATCTTCTTACTTTAGAGATTGTCATTTTGTCTCCACATTCTGTAGTGAAAGATTTTGTTACAATACATACAAATAAATACAAATACATACTCACATGCAACTTACCTATGTGCAATTTCATGCATCATAATATGGATGACTGAAAAACCAAATTTTGACCCAACAATGGAAAGAGAATATTTTGTGCATAATGCTCCTACATAGGAAATACCTAACCAAAAAAAAAATAAATAAATAAAATAAAATAAATAAATAAAATAAATGACATAAATGAAAGAAGTAAGCATTCACTACTAAGAAAACAGAATAAGGATTTATTTTTGATTTGGTGTATTAAAATTTGACTGTTTAAAAATAAGTAAATATTAAGTAATCTATTAATATAAAATTCCTTTACAGCAAATTTAAAGCAACAAATACACTGAGATTTTCTTTCAGGAGTGCAGCTTCTTTGTCTAATAACAGAGCAATTATTATAAAAAAATTGTATTAACTTAATTTTGTAATGTGATTTTATCAATGTAGCATAACCAGGAAAACTGATGGCAAAGGAGTTAATCTCAATTATTGCTTAGAAGGAAGGGTTAAAAAAACAGTCTATGAGAGGGTGTTGAAAAGCTTTTACTCAATGAAAAAGGAATTTGAAAAAGATTCTGATGTTAGGTCAGGAAGTTGAGAAAATTTCAGTATTTTATATGAAAAGTATAAAGATGTCCTTTGCAAAGTATATTTTCAAGTTCATCCATAAGAAGTTTCTACCTAAAATATCTAGAAATAGTTTCAGGTGCTGATCTATGGTGGGGAGTAATTATTTCATATATATATATATATATATATATATATATATATATATATATATATATAATATAAAGAAATAATTACTAGTAATCATAAATTACTCTTAAAAACAATAATTTCAACCAAGGCAATGATACCAATTGTCTCCTCCATAATTCTTCCTATTTTGACCATTCACTGCTCATAATCCTAGATCTGAGTGGTGGAACAAATGAAGCAATAAAAAATAAGAATATCAATAGAGTATATGCCTTAGAAAACTGAAAATCTATCATTTCATATGTAATTTCTATATTACATAATGATTGGGACTACTTCAATTTAATGGGATGAGGAACAGGTTATCCCCAGAGAAGTTTGATGATAGACTACCATTGGAAAAATAATAGAAGAGACTTTTGAAAAAAAATTCCATGTATGTAGAGCAGTGGTTCTCAACTGTGGTCCATATTGACGTTTTCATGTTACATTACTGTGTGTCCACACAAAAGATAGTAAATTGGAAGTCCACAGTAATAATTTAGTGGTTCATAGAACCACTAAAACTTTGGAACAGTTGTTATAACTGAGAATTGGAATTTCTACAGTAATCTATGTCATATTAAAATACTAAAAATAGAAAAACAACTCTAAAACTAGCAGAAAATGAATTCAAACAAATTTTTAAATGGTTTATTACAAGTTATTTTACTAGTATACATAAATGTTCCATAGAATGTATTCGTTAAATACAAGTTTATTTTTAGTAAATTAGTTTTACTTCAAAATAAAGCATATGCATTTACTATTTCAATAATACAATTTCTAAACTTATCTATTAGTAAAAAATATAGTAAACTTTTTCCATTGAATGGTTGTGGGTATTCATGGACTACTTTTACACTTAATATTTTTTGGTGGAGAACCACTGATCTAGAAAAAGGATGAGCTGTAAAATCTATTTAGAAAATTGATTTTATTCAGTAAATGATGTCAGCATTTGGAAACTGTTGGATTTGCATTCAGAAATAACTAAGGGAAAACTCATGAAGACCAGAGTAATATTTGGATATTCAGGTTACCTGGCTACTCTCTTACTGAACTTGAAGAGGTGACACATATGTTCCAGATTTTGTATTTGACTGAAGAATTAATTTCCAGAACAGCAAAAATAAGATAACATTCTAAATACAATACACCAAATTTAGTACTGTTTCTTAGCTAAATGGAGAATGGATAATTTATTCAAATCTGGACGACAAAACAGATTACCAAGAATGAATCAGTCAAACATGGATATTTGATTTGATATGATTTTAGTGATCAGTGTGAAATATGTTACTTGTATAAAATATGGTGTAGCAGCATGTTTTTGGGGTTAGTTGCTGTTGAATCTCAGAGTGTTCAGTCCTATGCAGACCAATAAAGAATACTGCCATTGACTTGTGTAGGTAGTGTCTCTTGGATAATTCCAGCCAATTTCACAAAAACAAAGTGTTGCAATATTTAATTCTCTAAACTTTTGAAACACTGAAACCTGAAAATAAACTAACTGAGATCATCCAAGTAAAATATTTTAATTTGTAGCAAATAGTCTGCCTGCAACAATTCTCAGAGAAAAAAAAGAGCTGTATTTAAGACTAGAAAGGACCTTCTTCAGATGCTCAAACACAGCAAAGGTGAAGAAGTGTTTCTTATTTATTTAAAATATCTTTATTATCATAGATAAAATAATTTGTGCTTTCTAATCTAAGGTTCTGTGAAAGTAGATAACAACAGAAACATAATGTGTTTAAAACTTACCTGCAACACTTATTTGAATTTGATTTTGGATTACAGCATAAAGGTCAAGCCTAAAGAAAAAAGAAAATGTTGAAGAAATTTCTCATAAACTAGCTGGTGCTAAATATTTTTCAAATTTAGATGCAAAACATGGATACTGGGCAATACACATTCATAAAGAATCAAGTCTGCTTATGTATTTTAATACACCTTATGGTAGATATGGGTACTTAGAGATGTCCCTTTGATCTTAAGTTGTTACAGGACATATATCAACAAAAAAGGACCAAATACTAGAAGCTTGTGCAGGAGCCATTGGAATATATGAAGATATTTATATATATAGCAAAACAATGAAAGGACATAACTAGAACTTGAGAAAAACAATGGATGCAGCCAGAAGACATGGGTTTTTTAAGACAAATGTAAAGTAAACAGAAACCAATAATCTACCACTTCATCCCCAGCCCCTCAACCTCCGGTGTCTTCCTCTTTGGGTTGAGGTGTCCACTTGGTCCGAACCAAACTTAGGGGTAACTGGCTGTATGCTTCCTGAGTACCTGTAGATTATTTCGACTGGTCAACAGGTCAAGTCCTGCTCACTGCCCATGCTGTGTTAGTTTTTAGATCCAGTAAGCAGGGTGTTGTCCATACATTCATGGTCAACTGGGTATGTGGACACGGCTGTGAAAGTTGGTGCTAGGAAGTTTAGAATGTGGCAAAACAAAACAAGAAATAATATCTGCAGAAGCCAGACAACAATGGGGGAAATATTGACGTCTTTTATATAAGAAAATAACATCAGAACAGAGGTTACAGGGAGAATAAAAACATTTAACATAAATGAGAAAAGAAAAAGAAAAAGACAAAATGCATCCAGTGAATTCCCAACAGAGAGAGGGTTTGTATGTGATGAACATGTATTGAATCACCTGGAGTAGGTTTATGACTAATAGTCCAGTCTCATACAGACTTCTCAGAACAGGGGTTAGTCTTCTCTCTCTCCAACAAAATTCTCCCGCAAATCTCTCGACTCCCTGCAATGATAGTCTCATAACTCTCTCGACTACAGTCTCTTTCCCCAACTCTGCTTTATTAGCAAAATCTTGAGTTAATATAGAAAAAGGATCAGCTGATCACAATTGACCCTCAGCCCAGCACACAGCTACCACGAGTGCCAAAAACTATCCCTTGACATGTAAACCTATTCTCCAATTATTTACCTTATTTCAATCACGAGTTCTTCTCACTTCACCAAAATTATACTTTGGGATATCTAAACATTGATTCAACCTTTTAATCAAAACAAATACTGTTAAACAAAACCAAGTATCTCGCCCATCCCCATTGTTTACTAGTGACCCAGGTTTAAAACATCGCCCCCAGCCCTGAGATCGTGTTTCTCATCGGTAAACACACATCTTAACCCAAATTGTACTTTGATATATAAACATCATTTTCATTTCCAGTCAATAAAAGTTATATTTGCGCGTGTGCGTTCATGTGGGTGTGTTGTGTATACCTCTCTCTGTTACAATAAAATACCGAATATCAATGGAATGACACACATGATAGAGCTTTTAAAAAATTGAAAGACCATATTCATGAAAACCTTTACCTAGCTTAAGTAGAATCAAGTAGATTCAAGCATATTAGGCATAAGTGTAACATTAATCAATGATGGGAAAATTGTTACATTTGCTATCAAGGGACTGACTGATGCTGAATCAAGATATGCAAACATAGAAAGAGAGCTACTTGCAGTGGTGTTTTCATATGAAAGATTTTATACATATATATATGAGAAAGAGTTCCAAATTGAATCAGATCACTAACTATTATGAAATATACAGAAAAAAAACATTTTCATTAAATTACTCATTGCTGACCAATAGAAAAAACAATGAAGAATGTCACCTGCTCAAACTGTATCAAATACTTCAAAGCAATTTTTGCTGTTCCCAGAATGCCTTTATACAGATAATGCCATGTATTTTGTGTTAAATGAGTTCCAAAATTTTGCCACTATATAGGAATTCCCACACATGACATTCAGCTCAAGATACCCTCAATTAAATAGTTTCATTGAATAAATAGTCCAAATAGTGAAAAACACTGTGTAAAAAGCAAAACAATCAAAAATGGATAATCAAATGGCTTTTATATGCCTAAGAGCAACCTTATTGGACAATCACTTGCTATCACTAGCAGAGATCCTATTCAATAGAAAAATAAGAACAAGGATTCCAACTATAACACCCACCAAAAAACAATCAAGTTTGAGAAAGGATGAACATCGAAAGCAAAAAACAGCAGCAATATTACAGTGGAAATACAAAAGATCTTCTTGAATTGGTTATAGGCAGCCAATTGTCTGTTCTTCAAGAAAATAGTCCATGACAACCAGCAACAGTTGTAGATAAATGCACAGTGATGGAAGATTGCTTAGACATCACAGACAACACTTACAAGAACTTTACAGACCATAGAGACAAGTCACTTTCAACCTCTCAGCTCAAGGAATTGGACAAAATGATCCAACAATACTCACATACGAACTCTAACCCCACAGAAAACATTAATACTCCATATACTACAACTCAGCATATCCAATTCATACAGTTGTAGGTAGAGAGTGACCAGCTCCCAGACCAAACACCAACAAACTGTCCTATGTGAACAAGCCCAGCCCCCAATAAAGTTTAAAGACTTTGTCAAGTACAAATAAATAAGCAAATAATAATAATAAATTGTTTTTCTTAATCCAATTTTTCTTTATCTTCAGGGAGGAGAAAAATAGACAATAATTTTATTTTCAAACACAATAATGATAATTTCAGAACATTGACTTTGTTGTTCTATTTTCTAAATTCAAGTAACAATATATTATTTTTATATTCTGCTTTATCCTATTTGATTTCACATTATCAAAATTTTTCTAATTATGTCTTTGAATTTATAAAGCATAGACTTTTATTTTTTATTTTTATTTGATAAGAGGGATATAATAGGAACCTCTTTAGTGTTCATGATTTTTGTCCCTTGAATTTATTGAAGAAGCTATGATAATGAAATAAAGCACATAGCAGCAGCACATGTCTGACTCAATATTATGAAAGCATGTACAAAATACCACACTTTTTAATTAAGATATGAGTTAAATATTAGTCAATATATGCAAATAGAATTCCAAATTGTTTTAACTTGGACAATTTGTATAAAAACCAATTGGATTGAATCTATAATCATCTTACATTTTTCCCATGTCAGCTGTGACCAATACAATTTTTGCTTTGTTGGATGAACAAAAATTACTTAATGGGTCTCTCAAGGCATCAAATATTTAGTTAGCTTTTTCTTGTCTCTTTTTATGATTAGAGAAATCTGAAAGGGTTCAAAACGGGCAAAAGAGCAGTAAGTCCAAAATCCATCATTCTTTTGCACTTAAAAACCTCAAGAAAAATTGAATTACTATAAGATTAGAGCAGTACCCTACAAGTTTTACATATTCAGTAAAAAATGATTTCAAAGTAAAAAAAATATTGCTACTACATTGATAGAAATGTCTATTTTGTTGGTAAAATTTTTATATAACAAATGTCTTACCTACCCAACAAATAACACTGCATGGTCATATTCGATATTTCCAAAATCAAAATTTGAAAAGTTACTGAGCAAGTCCTCTGCATTCACAGAACCATTTACATAAGATGGGATCTGTGTAATAAAATCATTTTTTTCAGGAGTCTGAAAAGGATTGGAAATTATAAATATTATTAGATTCAATCTTCAATATACAAGCATTTTTTGATCAAAACATGTCAACATTTGAAGTAAATGAAACATTGTATTCAATAAAATTCAATGCATAAAAACTACCTAAAATGGATTTCAAAGGTGGTAACTAGTAAAGTGAGAAGGACTAAAAATCATTTGTAAGACAGAATGTATATTTTTCAGCAAAAGGAACAGCCCAAAATGCAAACTATGAATTTGAGACACCAAGATCAAGCAAGTACAAAAATTTAAATATCTGAGAAGTGTTTTAACTGATGATGGAAAACGCAACACTAAAATCTGAAGGCACATTGGGATATCAAAATATGCCTTCCAAAAACTAGGCAAAGTATGTATTAAAAAGCAGGAAAATTATATTAGAAACAAAGAAAAGAGTACTGACTTGTTATGTAATATCGATCCTCTTATATAGCAATAAATACTGGACAATCTCCTCATAGATGAAGAAGAGGCTTGAAGCAACAGAAATGTGGTTGTTCTACAGAAGGGTGCCAAAAATCACATGGAATGAACATGTGTACAACAACCAAGTTTTAGAAAGAGATATTTTAAATTTCTAAGGCACATAATAAGGAAAAAGGACTTGGAAAATTTGACACTAACAGGATATATTGACAGTAAGAGGGAAAGAGGAAAGCAGCAAGTAAATACCTAACAAATTTGTGTAAATGATTTGTAGAACAGGACAAGGAGAGATAGCAACAAGATAAAACCTACTAAGAGCTACAAAGGACAGAAAATTGTGGAGAGCCATGCTTCGATGTGCCATGTTTCCTTAAGAAACATGGCACATAGAAGAAGAACTTTTTCCTTGAAATAAAACCCAGAAGTGAATGATCATCAGTTGTAACTTATGATGCTTTAGGATACAAGGTAGGGAAGCACTTGATGAGTTAAGCTCATCAAAAGATATCATTTGGCAGAACATTTGTATAACCTTCAAAAACATAAAATTGATAAAAAAAAAGAAAATATGGAAGACATGGATAAACATGCTAGCAATAAGACAGAGTGTCAAAAGCACAGTTTCTCCTATGATGATACTTTTTTAACTACCTTCACTCTTCAGCAATGTTTATTCTTTTAAAAAGCAATGGTTAAAATTGTAATAAAACCTAAACATATGTAAGTGAATTTACACATTTTCTTTGTTTCTGAGAACTCACAATAAAAATAATAAATACTATTTATTTATTAAATTGTTTATTTATACTATTTATTATATTATTTATTGGAATGATTGACAAAACTTTGGCTAATTGCCAATTGATTTAAACTTTATAAAATGCTAAATAATAAGGATTTCCTCATAGCTTGTTCACATATTCTAATAATTTAGCAAATGTTTATAAATTAAATAAAATGAAAAAACACTTACATCAAGAATAATAATTGACTTGAGATAGATTCTGAGCTTGTAACTGAAATTTTCCATGTGTTGAAATATCAAATTTAACTGAAATAAAAATAGAAAGAATCCCTTAAATTGAAAATTTAATTCTAAATTAGATGTAGTGATTAAAAAATGAGTTCAAATTTGTAAAAAATAAATAATAATATTTTGCTGCACAAAATGTTGATTTGTGTTACAGGAAGTGTATTTTCAATGATGAAATGATAAAGAAATCAAAACCATTGATTTTAAAAAATTGGAACTGGCCACAAAAATGATATAAAAAGCAGAAGTAATCTTTTTGAAAATATAAAATGTTTTGTGAGGATATTTTAAAGAAAAAAATTAAATTATACTTTCAAAACTATAAGTCAACCTAGTGAATCAATTCATCTCAAAATGATTAGTTCAGATTGAATTATTTTATTGCTAATCTACATCAGGTTCAATGTTCAGCTTCTCATCTCTTATATTTTATGGAATTTTAAGAAGAAATTTTCTTGGATCCTTTTTATAACATATTTTTGCACAGTATTATTACTAATTTTTGGCAGTGATTCTCCCATCATTTATTTCTTTTTATCAGTTAATTAAATCAATGTTTGTTTTAACAACCCTCCTTCTGCAAACAGGAGTGGCTTTTAGGTCTGAATGTGATTTACTTGTGATGTATTTATATACATCTTATTGGTATATTATTAATACATGTGTATATATTATCTTCATTCATTTCTCTTGTTTTAGACACTGTGTACACTCCTTTTAGATCTTTGATCAAGTTCTGGAGATTGAATGCTGGGAATAAGTCAGTTTTTTCTTGTTTTTCTTTTTCATTTTTTTGATTTGCTGGCTACTGTAATTAAAACATTTTTTTCTTTTTGCACCCTTGCTCTTTGTTTTAAAAATGTCTGTTTTAATGTGTTAAATGGTCTACTGCTAATTGTTGCTAGCATTGTTTTGATGGTTGAATGAAGGTGATTACCGCTGTAATGTGATACCAGCAGCAAGTGAGAGAAAACAGGGAAAATGATCTTTCATATGGTCCAAACAAAGAATAAAACATTGTTGAGCAAATTTGAATACAATTTAATAATTGTTAAAAATTAAGTAAAAAAGAAAAGGTGTTCTTAGAAGGGTTGGAGAAAGTTTGTAAAAAGTCTAGAGAAATAAAAGTTTGTGAAAACAAATGTCCATATATGTATGGATGTCTGAGTATGTGCATAGTATATGTAGTTTTGAAGATATATATAGATATATATGTGTGAGTGTATGCATATATATTTATGGATATAAGTAACTCACTTAGGAAGGTCCTTTTCAGTGGTCAATATAGTTGTGGGTTTGGGCAAGTATTATATCACACTTGAGTCAATCTTGCTGTATGGCATGAGTGCTTGAATGAGAATGTTTTCTTTGGCATGATGTAAGTGAATGTGCCATGTGTGCTCCTTTTCTAAACTTGGACAACATTACATGTAATGTTCTCCAAGTTTAGAAAAGACAATAATTTTGTAGAAACAATCAAATATATTTATGTTATTTATAAGATAGATTCTTTAAATGAAAAGTGGTTTGAAAATTTTAGAAAAGGTAAATACAACTTAAGAGATGTTCCATGAACAAGTCATCTCTAGATTAATGATGATTCATTTTTGTCTGAACTTGATAAAAATAGTTCTGTTATGGTGAAAAAATTAGCTTAAAACTGAATTCAGTGCATTGAATGGTTCATTGTCATCTACATCAATTTGAAAAAGTGCCTAAACTTGGAAAACTTGGTTCCCCATAAAGCGTGGGTTGATGTTTGTATTTCTTTGCACTCTTGTGAAAACATCTCACCATTTTTGGACAGATTAGTAAATGGCGATGAAAAATGGATATTTTACAAGTATTTAAAATAGCACAGACAATAGTTTAGTGAAAAAACAGGTTAAAGTACTACCCAAAATAGGCCACCAGCCAAGTAAAATTTTGGTAAATTTTTGGTGGGTTTGTGTTGATGTGTTTCACTTTGAATTGTTATTTGTCAATGTTACAGTTACAGCAGTCATCTATTACCAGCATTTAAACTCTTTTTTTGAAGGAAAGAAGGCCTAGTTTGAGCAATCAGAAAGTGTGTGGGGTTTTAGCACGATAATGCTCATCCCCATACAATGGAAATCAAATCTTAAAAAATTTCTTAAACCGTCTCAGTTGGGAAAAATCCTATATCCATTTATTGTCCAAAATTTACTCTATCGATTGTAGATCCATCTTCAGGGACTTTTTCTTAAGACACATGAAGAAATGAAAACTACTTACTTTTACAAAAATGGCACTATATTGCTTATGAAAGAGGTTATATATTAATGAATAAATTCTAATTAATCATTAATTTTTATATTTTTTCTGATTCTAAATTTGGACATAAGATGAACTGATATAACTAACTTTTATATTTTTAGTGATGATTTTCTTCTAAATTAAACAACAATAATAATAATAATAATAATTAATCCATTAATTTAAATTTTAAAATAGAATTTCATATAATTTTCAATAAAGTTGCTCTTAATTTGAGCATAAATAATGGACAAAATATTTTACTGGATAAACCTTTCTTTATCATAATGCACTTTCTTTGAATTTTTTTAGGAACATAATAGACTAAATTCTATTTAGTGATTTTCAAACTACAGCTATAAACAGTGTCAGATTTATTTATAGGCTGAAGCTTAGGGCCTCAAAATCTAGGGGGCCTTCAGCCAAGGTGTATAATATTTTTGATAATGTCATAGGTATTTCTTACACATGCTGTCATAATGCATTGTAGACTCTACACAACCCTTCAGTAATTTTCCTTATATTCCATTTCAGAATAATTCTGTCTTAAGCTGATAACTTGATGCTAGCATTGATTTCTTTATAGATTGTTTAAATTTTAACATTCATGCATTTTTTCAATCACATACTGTATTTAACAGTAACATCTTATGTCCTTTAGAGGAGGAATTGTCAACTGTAGAATTTTAAACACTTGTCATCATTCTTGGCTTTACTCAAATTAATTTAACACTCTTCCATTTTCATATATTTGCCGACACATTTAATTAGAATTATTAATGCAAGTTTAACTGTTTATACTTATATAAGATACAAAAGTATTTATAGCATAAAAATTACCAATCTCATAAAGAAAAAATATAATAAGAATAAATTACCCAAATTCAAGAGTTATTATTCATCTTTATAAATTATATAAAATTTTGTGAAAAGGCAAAAATAATCAATACCTACAGTGTTGATTACAAGGAGGTAGAAATCACATATCTTTGCATCTTCTTCATAGGGATGTAGAGTATTTTTCCGATCCATATATTCTTTTATTCTAAAATGAAAATAATAATTTGGCAATGGAAGGCATGAAAAGTAATTCATAATAAATTATTAAAGCCAGAAATTGTGGACAACTCTATTAATAATTAGTAGATAGAAAATCCTTAATTAGAAGATGAAGACAAATAAAAAAAAGAAACTTTTGAAAGTTTTGAGAAAGGTACTCAGGCCTTAAGTTGAGTTTGAATCACTTAGCATTCAACAATACTTTCTTGAGTATTTGTCTATGAGTCTATATTCATTCAGCTGATTCTCTGTCTGTCATAAACTGTCTGTCTGTGACTTTGCATGTGTGTATGTAATGTATATGCATATATCTGTGTTATACATGAGTTCACTTATATGTGCTTGTGCCATTTAATGTACACACAAGCACATGCATACACACATACGCACACAATTTGACTGAGTTTGAAATAATATATTGGAAGAATACATTTCCCTCTAAGGCTGGACAAAATCTATTCTGGGCTGATCTATAAAATCATAAAGTTGGAAACAAGAAAAAGAAATTAATTTCTTTAAAACCTAAAATATTAAACAAGTATAAGATTTTATTGATTTTTAAAAAAATTATTTGGTAATTATTTTTTGAAGCTTTTTAAAAATGTTGCAGAAATTCAAATTTACTTGTATGCATACAAAAATACACCCACATGCAATTTGAATGAAACTGAAACAGACACCTGTGTTGTGAGGACTGTCTTGCAACAACCCCCGGTTAATAGGAAAAGTATAATTTAAATATTTGGGAAGTGTTTTAACAGAAAAAGCAACACTGTGATTTGAAGGTATATTGGGAAAAACAAGGAAAGCACTCCAAAAGCTAAGCAGAGTAATAAGAAATAGGAAAATTTTGCTAGAAACAAGGAAAAGAGTACTAAACTGCTATGTAATTTCTGTGATTGCCTCAAAGATGAAAAGGAGACTTGAAGCAACAAAAATGTGGTTCTGCAGGAGAATGCTGAGGATACTGTGGACTGAACATGTGAGTAGTGACAAAGTTTTGGAGAAAATGGAAACAAAAAGGAAATTAATACTTAACATCAGGAAGAGACAACTGAGATTTCTGGGACATATAATGGGGAAAGTGGGATTGGAAAATCTGATACTCAAAAGATAGATAAAGGGCAAGAGGGACAGAGGAGAACAACACATAACATAATTAGCTTGACTATATGGATGGTGGAACAGAGCTAAGTGAAATAACAGAAAGAAAAAAATTATTAAGAGTTATAAGTGACTGGAAGTTGCAGAAAGCCATGATCACCTATATTCTGAGAGGACATGGCATATAAAGAAGTATAAGCTGTCCCTTTGAAGTCATTTTTATGACTCTTTCTGTATTTAAGCTGAATATATTTTTGAATAAATATAGTATTTTAAATGGAGAAACAATTCAAATATAAAATTTGATCATTTTGCTCTCAGCAAAATGATAAGTAATAACCTAGTTCATAATTATAAAGAAATAAAAAGAAAATTAGACCAAATGTTAAAAAAATAATACTACTTAGCTTACAATTATACTATCTCACATTATTAGCCTCTTCATATATTTGTAATGGTGTGGATTATTATGTTGTGTATGTAAGTTAACCTATGTTATATCTATTTGTAGTTGATAGAGGATTCCTTTTCCCTTTTTTTTTACTGAAAATGAAATGAATAAAACATACAACAATAACAAAAAAAGATTTTGAGACTTGTGTTGACATTAATGACAAGAATGTGCATTTTTCTTTTTGTGATGTTAATTAAAATATTGGCATTGTGTGTGTTAAATATGTTCTGTGGTATTGTCCCTTTTGTTTCTTTAAAAGTTTGTGCTTACTTGTTTTTGCTTCTTCCGAGAATTCCATTAAGGGTAGCCTTTGAGACTGTCAACTGTCAATTTTCATGGAGCGATGGTGGTACATCTGTGTTCCTTTTTACTACTCCTACTGCCACTGCTACTCTACTCTACTGACTTTGCTTGTGGTGGAAGGGTCTTTTTTATAATGATGAAGTTTCAGATTTTTAGAATGATGAAATATCATCTATCACCACTGGTGGCAAGGTTGTTTTAGATGATGAAATATCCTTATCATCATTCATCACTGGTGGAAAGGTTGTTTTGAGAAGGATGAATCATAACATATTATTGATATATAAAATAAGTATTTATTGGAATCTAAAGGTTTATTTGTTGAATGCTTGCAACACTTATCTAAAAAGTTAGGATGAAAATCAGTATAATTGTATAAAATATTTTGAATTTCTACATCTCAAATGAAGATCATGAAGCTGATTTGACAGATAAAGAGAAATATTCCGAACTTGCAAAAGTAAAACAACACTGGTAATTATAAAAATGATTGGTAGGCACCACAGAACTGGAAAGAAGTTTTTGAAGATCTTGGATGATTCTGATACTAGTTTGATAAGACCAAGTTGAGAACTGTTTCATAAGAACTTGTTTTGCTGGTCACATGATGTAGAAGTGCGGGCAGTTTGAAATAAAGCAGACTACTGTGAAGACATCTAGGTAGATTCAAGCTGTTTAGTGTCAGTGGCCATAGTCAGAGAATGAGCATGGAACAAGAACTTTATGCCAATTATAATGGGAAAAATCGCTTACCTTAAATATTCATTAAAATCTATATAAATAAGTATATCATAGCTGAAATCTATGAGTTGATTATGTTCAGGGACCTCTCGTTGAACCCTTCTTCTGTTGGGTCTTTCATTTAATTTAGAATCAGGAGCAAATATGAAATGATCTACAATTCATAAATAAAATAAAATGTTAGCTTATTTGTAACCATGTCATCAATATTATGAATTTATTGCATTGTTTTAACCTTCTTCGTCTTTTTTATCTCTCATAACACTATGTGAAAATGAATATTTATTGTAGATCATAAACTTTATTCCAATTTGATTCAGAATAATCATCAATCAGATGAAAGGTTTTATTTGCAGATTTAATTCTGTTAGACATCATCAATTTTTCTGAGTCATTTTCATAGAAATTTCTCAGTGATAGAAACACACAGATGGTTATGTAAAAGTAACAGATCAATTTTATATATCTATTTGCTACATCATGTTTAACTTAGAAAGGAAGAATTGAATCCAATAAAAAAAGAATTCTATTTTCATTATATTGTTGAACTTTGGCAACTAAAAATGTCAATGATTCATAACAGGTATGTAGAAATGTTTTTATTAAGTATAACTTCTTTCATTTTACTTTTATTTTACTGGGTCTTTTTCATCTTCAAGGCAAAGAAGAAAATATTGATTCTTTTCCCTCCATTTTTCTAAAACCAAGATTTAGCCTTTAGCACTCTGCATTATTAATATTACTTCCCTTCCACTGCATTCTTTTTCAAGGCCTTTCAATTGCAGTAACCTTATTGTTAATTTCACTCAAAGGTGTTTTCTTGTTGCCATAGCAGGATATGACAACACAACTATGAAATTCAAATTCAGGGATTAGTCACCTTTAGTCGTAGGATAAATTTTTTGGCACAGCAAATGAAATCACATACTTACGCTAATATACTTCAAACCAATGAAATAAATAAATAGTTAATGAAGAAAACAAACAAAAGTGAAGACAGTTGTTGTTTGAGTCAACTACTACTACCAACAATAACAATAATAAGAATTATTATGATGGTGGTGAATATTTGATTGCGTTTTAGGCATCAACAAAATGATTTCTGTTGCCATTTTGGTAAAATAATATACCTTAGTTGGAATTCAGTTTTGTACTACAACTCTGATATATTTCTAACATTTCTATATTCCCTCCTACTTCATATTTCTAATAAATCATTCTTAAAATAAGAATGAAATGAACACTAAGATAGAAAAAAAAGGATACAGATAATTATGAAATTACTTACTTTTTAACTCATTCAGTTGTATCAATTCAATAGCATAATAGTCTGTCATTTTTAAGAAAACATAATTTCCCATTTTTCTTTTCTTAACTGATTTTCCTGCTGTGTCTTCATTGGATTTCTTCAACTCAAACATTTCTGCATTCATTCTGATTATTCCTGTCTTAAACAAATATTAAATATTTTCATTTATCAAAGCAACATACTAAAGAAAATGGCTTTTACAATCATCAGTTTAATTTAAATTTTGTTGGTGTTCTATATTTTCTGTAATAAAGTGTAAAAAATATAAGGGCTTGTAAAAATAAATATAGTTTTCTGATGCATCAACTTTTATATAACACTAGTCATGCCATGCCAAACATCCTTTTCAAAGTAAATTTTTTATTGTTTTAAATAGTTGTTCCACATATAAAAAATTCTGACTATAACTACACCTTACCAAAGATTACCTTGGGAGTATTATAAAACAAATCATTTATGTTTTTCACATGTATATATATCTTGTCATACTTTGGTCAGATAAACAGATATAATGTAATTACTTTCTAAAATGTAACAAGCTTAAATTTGTGAAATAAATTTTCATAGTTAACTTGTATTGGTGGTGCATTAGTGTTTAGTGCAGAAAATGGAATCAGTAGACCATGTACAAATTCTTTCCAAGGTTATTGGCTTCACTTTGCACTAATGTCCTTGTGAAAGGCAGGAATTCATCTATTCTTCTTCCAGCTATAGCAAAAATAGTAGAGTACACTGGGTTTTCTAGTCTTGATGGGCAACCAATCTAGGAGAAGGACAACTCACAATTTAAAATTCTGAAAAAAGCAATGTGAAACCACTGTGTAACCTTTCAGGGTAATTCATAATTTACAGATATTAAAGAAAAGGAAGTTTTGGAGAGCTGTGATTGCTTATGAAGGGAAATGATTAAAAAAAACAAAACAAATACAGAGTTGTATAACAATCAAATTAAAGATATAAATCAAGTCCTAGATTAATTTTAGAATGATTAATGTTTAAAGATTAATATTACATTGCCTCATTAAATAAAAATTTTTACAAAATTGGGTATATTAATATTCGCTTTAATAAATTTTGTGTATCTGTTATTTTTTAAAGGCATTTTTATTATTTTTTCTTTATTTTGTTAGGATAGTGTTGGGTTATCTTTCCTTCTTTCCAAATTAATATGCACATGCTTGGCCAGTGATGTGACCATGAATAGCCAGTGAGTGTAGCCCAGTCTAAACAGCAGATAGTTTTGGAGTAGATGCCACAAAACACAGATGATTTCCTAACATGTGGACAAAACACAGAGTCTCTTACAACATGACATGCTGGACTTGTGACTAAAAATAGATTTTGTAACATCCACCAGTTTTTCACAATCAAAGAGAAGGAATGTAATACATTTCTATACTTTGTTTGCATGTTCTTCTTTTAAAAAATAAAACATTTATTTATGTTCTTCCAAATTCTTCTTAGCTGTCTTTATTTCTTTATTTTTAATGTTTGGGTAAATATTTGTATCTATGACAGGTACCACTAAAGCTGCCCACATATATTTGGTGAAGCCCAACAATATTAATTAATTTTTAACAGTGTCAAGCAAAGGCCTATTGAGGCCATTTATCCTACTTGCAGTAATTAACAAATATTAACTCAAAGTGAAATTTTTTGCTTTCATTGTTAAAAGAGTCAAATTCTTAAGAAATACTTACTACATGGAAGTTTTCAGGTTTGTTTTCTATTCCTTTGAGGAGAAAAGCTGATTTTTTCATGATGTTATGATATAGAGCAGAATTCTGGAAAATAATAGATCAGTTTCTATAAACATCATTTTCTATACACACACACACACACACACACACACACATACACTAATGAATTTATATAAACATTCTCAACTATGTCCCAGAAGCAAATAGATTTAGTTTCTTCTTTCTTGCTCTGTCAGTGGTGTGTGAAACTGTATAAAAATTCATGCTTGACATAAATTTTACCTCACACATTGACTTAAGCTTCATTTTTGCTTTTTCCAACTCTCATGCAGAAAGAATCCATATTTTGTTTACAAAAATATACTCTATAAAAGCATTCTTTAGACTTTCATTTACTTTATTTTTTAGGTAATTTGATTTTCCTTATTCTGTTAAGTTATTTTTTTTTACAAAAAGTCAAGTTAAAAATTTTTTAAAAAAATCTGACACAAATATAATGAATATAATTTTAAAAGAAGTAAAACAAATGAAAGTACATCAAGACATTGAAGAAAAGTCGTTTCAGAAAAAGATAATTTTATGTGAGAAAACAATTTCAGCTTTGTAATAGTGTATATATATATATATATATATATATATATATATATATATATATATATATATATAATTAAAACAAATATAAAATTTGTCACTTAGTTGATTGATGTTACCTTCAGTATTATGACTCTAGAATTTTGCAGATGTACACACCAGCAATCACTCCATCCATTCATCAGGGGATATCAACAACTTATTTTCTTGTTTTTCTTTTATATATACACTTTTCATTGGTGCAAGATTGTTTTTGTCTGTCATTGTGTCTGTGTGTGCATGTACACTTGTGTATGCATCTGCCTGTGCATTTTGTGTATGTGTAGATTGTCAGGGTTATTTCCCCTTTTCGTTGTTTTTTCTTGTCTCTTTATACTCTTTCCTTATTGGTTTTATACCTTTTTCTCTCTTTTTCAGTTCTGAGTGCAAGATACAAAAGTAACAATTCAATATCAGGTTTTTCAGACAGTCACTGTTTTTGTTAATTCTTGAGCATTCTAGGGATTTCTTGAGTTTGGAAAATGTAGGTGGATTTCATTTTTTTTACTTAAATAATTTTTTTTTATTATTAATGCTTAAATGATGAGATAAATAATTATATATGCCTTCATTTGCCCATGATTTTGTTTTCTTTATTTGATTTGGTGATATCTTAAGTATTATGGTGTTAATTATCAGAGCTTAGGTTCATAATTAAATTTTATTTATTGTTGTTTGAATTTGTATGCATATGCATACATTCATACATACATTCACACACACACACACATATATATATATATATATATATATATATATATATATAAATATAAAAAAGTGGACACTGAAGTCAACAACAACTGACAACAGTCTGTTTTATGCTTATATGCAATCGAGCCATATGCACTGATATGCATTTTAATGTCCACTTTTATATTTACATACACTCTATCCCTGATATTGAGCACATTTTTACAGCATACCTTAAAACTATATTTTATCATATATATATATTAATAAATATATATATATTATCCTTCACTGATAGCATGACTTGGAGTTTCATGCACAATGCAGACTGAGTAAAGAGTGACAGTTCATGCACAACACAATCTAAGTACAAACTGACAGTTATGTAATTTAAATTTTAATGAAAATTTCTGGTTACCACAATGTTGGTGCAGTTATATATACTGGAATTACAGTTTTTCAATTTAAAAAATATATATATTTCATTTAAAATAAACAGGATTTATATATACTAGCTTAAAAGCCATCCTATTTGATTTATGCTATCTCCTGTAGTGGGCTCTTAATTGGGCCTTCATCACAAATTTCATTAAATTTTCATGTTAATTTGAGATATAATTTTAAAAATTTTGAAATAAATAAAAAAAATGGAAGAATTCAAATAAATGTAGTTAAATATCTATGGTATGCATTTTAGTGCTTAAAGAAAAAACAACTCATATTTAAACCATATTTAAACATTATATCCAAAAATGTTGGGAAAATATTGTAGTTAATATTTTTTTTTTTTTTAGATATTCATAGTGAGACTAAATAGGCAATTGTAATAGACATGGTAATCACTGTTTGAATTTAAAATATAATACAATTTGATTTGTATATAAGTGATTAAAAACTGAAGATTTATTTTTTGAGGTCAGAATCTGCATTTCACTAATACACAACAACAGCACTTTGATTACTGATGATACTATTATGATGACTGAACTGACATCTTGGTTTCACTCACTTTTCCATTGCCATAATATAACTTCCCTGTGCCTCTTCTATAAATATTTTCATGGTAATTGTTCTGATGAACTTTACTCTTTGTTACCTAGACTTTATGCACAGTTATAGATTGGCAGCTAGGTCTCATTTTTTTTACAGTTGAAATGGCTAGATGTAACTGTAAGTTCTATGCTAACAGTTTTTTCTCTTGCATATGTCTTGTTGGTGGAACTCTCTTTTGGCTTCTTGCTTTCTAATCAACTTTCAGCTTCAAAAATTTAAATGCAGTGTCAATCATTATCTTCTGTCTTCTTAATTCACATTCTTTTCTTGTTCTCTCTCCTTAATAATGTTTTTCTTTTGCTCCTCTTCTTTCATACTCAGTAACCCCTTGCATTTTAATGGCTTTATTGCTTTGCTTGGAGTGAAATGATTAAATAAAAAGTGTTTATGACATTAATAACATTAATAAGAATAATTAGAATCACATATCAAAAGAATGCTAATGATATTGATGAAGAATCTGGTCACAAGGAGTTTAATCAAGATCTTTAAATTAATGATGATGATTATAATAGTGATGATGAGGTACATAATATTGAGAGTCTTACCCTGTTGTGATTTTCAGCTTTATTGATCAGTATGGGATTCCCCTCATTGTCATTCCTGATTACATACAGAGGTACATTCATATCCAGTTCATAGTTTCTAATAAGCCATAGTTTTCCAAAAATATTGTTGTTTTTAAACTGTATTTCCATTTTAGATGGCATTGGTTGAGATGGTTTAAGTTTCATTTTTATTTGTAGTTTAATTGTCTCCCCTGATGAAAGCATAACTGCAATAAATAGCAAGTAAAACAAAAATTTAATTTTATTCTTCATTTTTAATATATAAATCTCTGAATTTGTTTAGACATTTTTCAGAACAAAATCTTATATTTTGGAATACAAATACTATTGATATTACTGACAGATTCTATAAGAGCAAAACAAAAAAATGAATAAAAATAATGGGAAGAAGAGAATTCTAATGTTTAAAATTACCAAATTCTTTTGTTTCATAATTCTCTTTGGATTATGTAATAACAAAAGGAAATTATACAACAAAAGTTAACAATCTTTTTAAAAATTATTTTTAGCTGAGTAACTGTGAGTGAAGCAAATGATCTAAAGTCAAGTGCTATTTTACCATGAATATGAGTATGTGTGTGTGCATGTAAATTCTAGTCTAGTACAAAGTTCTTAATAAAGGTTTTCAGCTGAGGATCAAGATTACAAAAAATCATTAACAAAACTAGTTTTCTACATCTGTATTGTTTTTATCATCTGGTTCAGACTTGTCTCTGGTCTTTTGAACCGGTTTATCCCTTATTTTCTGTTCTTTCTAAAGTCTACTTCAACTTTATACTTCTAACACCTCTGCCTAAACTTTGAAATTTTAGTTTTAGTATTTATTTATTTTTTCCTCTTGAATAGGAGTAGATAGGCTAACCTATCATTTGTTTCACATTCCTCCACAGTCTTTTGAAGAGAAGTAGAGGTTTATCCCTTGTTACCTATTTAGGATTGGGTTTCTGGTTCCTTCTAAAGTCTTTTCATTTCTTTTTCACTTTCAGTAGCCCCTTGCCTCTTTCTTAAGTGAATTGATTAAAATATATATATATAAATCCAATAAAAGAAAACAATTTTATTTGACTGATTTCTGTCTGATTTATTGTAATGGGTACCTGCTGTAGACTGATTGGTAGTAATTAGTCCTATAAATCATCTCTAGTAAGCTTGATCCTCATCAAGTGTGTCATTAATGTGGTGCTAGATCAGATTAAGCTAAACTAAAAAAATATATTTTTAAGAAGATTGTATAAATAAAATACCAATATTGTAATTCACATTTTCTTGTGTTGTAATTAAACACATTGAGCATTAACAAGCATGTTGTATGAATTGGTTTTATTTTTTTGTTAAAGTAGTAGAAGAATATAAGTAAAGTAGTATGTAGATCTACTGAGAAAGAATAAAAAACCAAAATATTTTCAATAAAATACAGAATGAAATCAAATACATGAAAGTTTGAAATTTTATTAAATATTTATTCCATAAAAAAAAGGAATAAAATAATAAAAAATCTGTCTGTGGAAAATGTATGCCTTTGACAACAGAATCTGATTTCAAATGTCTGAATTTCTGAAAAAAGAAAAGTACTTCTTACTGATCAACTGGAGAAAAATGTTTCCTGTTATGGTGCTGTGGCCCTAATGCATATGTGAAAGAAAAAGAAAGAGAGAGTTTATTTTTGAAAGCAGGAGTTTTTAAAGGTACCTAGCAGCTGCTGCTACATATTTCCTCATCAGTGTCATGGCCTAAACTCACTACATGAAGTTGTAGTTTTGTAATGATTTCATTATAGCTAATGAACTGTCAACTCAAATCACTTGTCATTTCATCAACCCATTCAGTAACAGTGTTCCTGTTTAATGAAATATCATGAAATAAGTGTGACTTCTCTGGACATACAGCTGTTTTTACCATGCATTGCTTTATGAAATTTCCTTCACTGTAAGATTTTTCACTTATGTCGATCGTTTTGCAGAGTTCAAACTTTGCAGTAACAGAACTAATGTTGACTTTGTGAATTTTTGTAAAGCAACTCTGTTGCTGTGTTAACCTAATCTTGAATTGAATGAAGACATGCATTCACGTTTGCATAAAGTTCAATTCATGTTTATCATAAGGTTGATGGTTTGTTTCATAATGTCTTTTCATGTTATAATCTTTTGTGATCGCATGCAGTGGTTGCAAATCAAACAGTTTTTTCCTTCCATTAACAATGGTACAAAAGTACTGTAATTCCCACCTTTCTTGAAACCGACGTCCTTCTTCAGATAATTTTCTCTTTTTATGAGATGGAGTAGAATTCAACATTTTTAAATCAAAATATTACAAAATTACGAATGTTTTCACTTTACATTTGTTCTTATTTAGTTGTCAAGGATGATCACATGATTAACCAGAAGTTAAAAATAATTGTTGACATTCGAAAACGAAAAAAACATTGAGAATTGAGATAGAATAATCAAATCATACCAATTGAAAATATTTGTATTTAATAATTTGCATTGCCAACATAGACAAAATTCTCAGTAATGAAAAAAAAATGGCTATAAAAAATATGAGTTTAAATCTTTGTGAGCACCGCCAAGATGAATGTAAAAGGCTGCCAGTTTGACACAGCTGGTATAGCTAGTGTTTTTGCTGCTTCTCCCCAGAACCAGAAGGAATACAATATTACAATGCACATTAAACCTCTAAAGTTTTTATATATATATATATATATATATATATAGTCAACAATGAAATTATTTATACAGTCGTCATACATACACCCATCAATTTTTAATATTTTTCTCTTTCTCAGAATCTAATGACTGTATAAATACCAGGATTTTTCCTGTGTATCTGTTAACATGGTATTTATAACTCTTCACTGATAAATTATGAAATAAAAGTACAATTGTGTTTATTTATTTATTTCTTAAATAAAACTAGGGATATGTAAAAAACGAAGACGTTACTTCTTTTTTTCTAAATTGGGAAAATTTTAAAAACTTTTTACAATATTAAAAGAAAGATAACTTGTTTTTTTTTATATACCCTCTATTTTATTTAAAAAAAAAACATTGTACTTTTAATTCATAATTTATCAGTTTTTTAAATATTTATTTCAATTCTAACAAGTGAGGAGTCATAAATTAAATGCCATGTTAACACTAACAGAAACAGGGTTTGTTTTTCTTTTAACAATATAAAAAATGCAATGTCTTTTTAAATTAGTTGAAGTTATTTAATAATGCGGGGTACATCCGGTAGTGTAAGCTTAATTTTTGGCCTATTTACTTCTTTTACAGACTTTCGGTGCAGAAAATCTCTATGCACTACCGTAAAGAAATGTAATTTTGTTTTTTTTGTAAGTGTAGTTTATTTATAACAAAAACAAATTAAATAATACAATAGAACCTTTTTTACCTGTAGAATAGCAATGACAAATTAAAAGAACAAATTAAATAATACAATAAAAATTTTTTTTAAATTAAAAATGGACAAATTGAAAAAAAATTAAATAATACAATAAACTCATATTTTGTTTCTAGCATTTTTTAAAAAATTTTGTAATTTTACTTTGTACATAATCATGCTCTTTATAAAGTATGTTTATGGGTTAAGTTTATAGTTAGGTGTTAGGGTTAGAGTTCTGCTCAATGTACACTGGTTTAAGACGATCGATCGAGATGTTCGATTGACCACTACTGAGCTGAATGGTGGAAAACTTGGCATGATGAGAGAGAACTCGAAATGGACCTGAGTAGCTGGGTGTCAGTGGCTTCTTGGTGGTGTCTTGTCTTACGAAAACAAAATCACAATTATTCAAAGAAGAAGGAACATAGATGTCCTTGGTCTGAAAGCAAGGAGGAGTAAATGACAAGGTGGACAATCCTACACTGAAGGTACTGAACGAAAGTTGAAGAATGTTCTAAAGTTGAATTCCCGGTCAGAAATTGTCCTGGCAACACTAGTGGTTTGCCAAACAAGATCTGCGGGTGAACATTGCAAATCCTCCTTAAATAGAGAACGAAGTGATAGCATAACTAATGGTAAGTTATCCATCCAGGATTGGTTGTTGCCACTGTTGGGGATAGTTAACACAGCCTTTAATTGTCGGTGGAAGTATTCAACGAGGCTGTTGGCACAGGGGTGATATGCCATTGTTGAAATGTGCTTCGCTCCAAGAAGATTTACAAATTCTTTAAACAGCGTTGATTGAAATTGAGGACCGTGGTCTGTCGTTATCACTGATGGGCATCCAAAGATAGAAATCCATTCTTTCAATATCGCCTAAGCAACAGACTCTGCGGTTGTAGATTGAAGTGGGATGGTGACTGGCCATCATGTAAATCTATCGATCACTGTAAGAATGTATTGGTACCTGTGTACTTCTGGTAACAGGACCCACTAAATCAGCATGCAGATGACAAAAACGACCGTCAGGTACAGTGAAATTACCTGGTGGAGATTTGATATGACAATGTATTTTAGTTTGCTGACTAATGAGGCAACTCTGAGTCCAATGCCTGATATTGACATTCATGTTTGGCCAGACAAAACGTTCACAAATAAGTTTTGTCATTATTTTCCATCCAGGGTGTGATAATGAATGGAAGTGGTCGAAAATTTGTCTTCTCATACCAACAGGTACTAGGGGTCTGGGATAAGAAGTACTGACGTCACAAGTGATTGACATTACTGAAGGGCAAGGGGACATTGCTCAATTGTTAATGATTAATTTTTTACTGAGTCTAACAAAGTAGTGTTGCTTTGTAGTTCATCAGCGATATATTTGAGATCCAGTTTCTCCTTACTAGCGTTGAGTAAGAATGCTCTTGATAGGGTGTTGGTGATGGTGTTATCCTTTCCTTTTAATGTAACATATGTCAGTTGTAAACCGAGAAATAAAATCTAGTTGTCTGTAGTCACGGGAATTATACTTGTCTGATTTAGTATGAAGTGCATAAACTAAAGGTTTATGGTCGGTAAATATCATGAAGTCTTGACCTTCTAAAACGTGTCAAAAATGTTTGATTGAAATGTAAATTGCTAATAACTCCCGTGAGAAAGTGCTGTATTTTTTTTTGAGT